GCCAGTCCCCACCGCCAGAGTTGATCGCTCTCGTCACCGTTGTCGCCAGAGTTCACTGGAAATTAGGGCATCGACAAATTGAAGGTAAAATCTTTAAAAAAACTTTCTCCTAATTTCTTGTATATTCTCACTACTTCATGGTGATTACATGTAAAAAATTAGATTAGAAATTAATTGTGAATTATTTATGATTTTTGTGAAGAAAAATTAAATAATTTTGTGGATTTAGAGGGAAAATTATCAAAAATGTAAAAGTTAGTGTTACTACATATGTTTGACATTGATATATGAATTTGGTTAAAATTATGGATGACTAAAATTGATATAGGACTTAATGGTAAATAACAATTTTTAAAGTTTTTTCGTGTAATATTGATCTTGAATTTTTTACTCTTTAGAGGTAATGATGAACGATCGAATCGTAATTTTTTGTTCATATGATGGGAAGATTAACTATCTCGAAAATAATATGCCTGTTTATGAAGGAGGTGTAACGAGACTGTTGTTTATAACAAAATCGTGTACGTGCACTTGTAATGTACCGCAACTACAATGAGGAAATATCACATAGAGAAAGTCGCTCTTACAAAGTTAATATGTTAGTGGATCACACATGTACGTTCACTTGCAATGTACTGCAACTACAATGGCTTGGTATTCTACTTACAACTATCAACAAACGTACAAAGAGTATTTTCGTCCACCATATGATAGTCAACATTGGACACAAGACGGGCCACGAATATTACCTTCTTTGTATAAAAGGTCGGCGGGGCGCCCTCATACTGTACGAATTAGAAATAGTATGGATGACAGTCGTGAAGGAATTAGGAGGAGAAATAAGTGCAGTAGATGCGATCAACCGAGCCATAACAAAAACAGTTGTCCAGCTAGGATTAGGCGTTGATTTGTAATATGTAGCGTTTTACACTATGTTTGTTCCCGTATGACATTTGTAATTGTAATTTGTAGCGTTTCGTATTGTGTTTGGGATCTAATTTTAATGTTTGGTTTTAAATTATTTCTTGTTCACATTGCACATTCGTTTATTGTAATATGTTTTTTATATATGACTAAGTTAGTCATTCAACTGAAATATCAAACACATTATACATTGTTTTCTAATATTTTAATCTCAGATAAATTCATTATGCATCCGGGACCGATACATCCCGACGTTTTGTACCTCCAGACGAGTCATTGCTCGGGACAAGTAAAATATTTTTGGTATATATATTCCTTAGCATTGGCACTAGTTTTAATTTTTCGAATATACTTAATCAATTTTGTTTGACGTGCAGCTCGTACCAGACATCACCATGGTCGATCATTCCCAGAGTCATTCGGCTTGGGTCATTGAGGATGAGAGAGTACTATAGCTGATAGCTCAGGCCCGGTTCCGGGAGTGTTTGACAGTGCAATATATTAGGCTTGATTGGCCGCTCATCACTGTACTAATTGAGAGGTGAAGCCCAGAGACCAACACCTTTCACATGCATATAGGGCAGTGTACCATCACCTTACAGGACGTAGCCGTCATACTTGGGCTCCGCATCGATGGCTTGACAGTTACGGGCACTGATGACCATAATTGAGCTGAGATATGTGCTAGGCTTCTTGATCAGGTTCTCGACTTGAGGAGTGGTGCGATGAAGTTATCATGGCTTCGTCAGACATTTCAGGAAGATATACCAACAGATGCCTCCATTGAGACGCTTCAGTTTTATGCTCGTGCGTACATATTGCACATGATAGGATGCATGCTATTTCCTGATGCGAGTAAGACTCTTGTACATGCACGATGACTGCCACTGCTGGAGGATTTTGGTGTATGCGGCGCACTATCTTAGGATAGTACGGTGTTGGCATACTTGTATAGAGAATTGGGTAGAGTATCATTAATGCAGAATAAAAAATTCAAGGGATGCTGCGGTTGATCCAGATTTGGTCATGGGAGCGCATTCATGTTGGCAGACCGAGTTTGCTTGTGCACTGTGACTTACAGGGACAGTTTCCTTTGGCATACAGGTATAATTGTCCACACAATTTTATTCAACTGAATTTGAACTCATATATTCTTTATGCCAAATAGGTATAACGTGCGGTATGCTAACTACAAATCAGCAACGCGATATCGTGAGTTTTACCGAAATAAGCTTGATGGCCTCCAACAGGAACAGGTAAATATAAAACTCGATTCGTTATGAATATTATAGTTTTTTTGTTGATACTGATAAATGTTTTATCTTATTTCAGTTCAAGTGGAGACCCTATTCACCGTCGGAGCTGTTAGCCCTTATGTTTTGATGATGTTTTACAACCACCATTATCGGTACTAATGGCTTATTAAGTTCAAATGTAGTGAATTCATATATCAAGCCTATTAGTGCCACAAATGGAGGATTGGATGGAATATGCGCTACAACGATGATATCCAAAGGAGGAGGCATAGTGATGAAGCAAACGTTATTTCAAGAACAACAAATTCATATAGAAGCTTCATCAAATTCAAGCTATATCAAGACTCAAGCATTGCATTCTATATAAGGATATTAGCTATCTTTTATTTTTTTCTCTCTAGTGATAGAATGTAGGCAAAGAGTTATTGACTTCACTTGAAGCTATTGGGATATCACACACTCACGTTTTCATACTTGTTTTTAAGCGTTTTTCACAAAATACTATTTTTCAAAAGTATGAGGACCTATCTGCAAAATTCCTTTTCCAAACAGTTTGTTTTTAGCATTAAAAACATTTTACAAAGTTTCATAATTTTCAGAGATCAAATAAATATTTTTCAAATATTTTTGTTGAGTCAAAAACAATATTTTGGAATGTATCAGAATGCGGTCGACCGTACTTATGTTCATTCCTCTCTGGGCAGCAGAGAGTTCGTCGGTCGACCGCCGCGGTCGACCGAGAGCTTCCTTCGGTCGACCGCACCGGTCGACCGGACAAGTCTGCTTGTTTTTCTCTTTTCTGATCTGGTTAGCGGTCGACCGAATTTTCCGTCGGTCGACCGGAATTTTCGCCGGTCGACCGGAATTTTCGCCGGTCGACCGTCGTATTATTCAAACGGTAATCTCTGTCTTTTTTCGGCGCCGCTCAGTACAGATCTCAGCGATATTTTAGTTCCAGATTTTGGGGGATTTAGGGATGGGTTTAAACAACTGTTTTTCTCCTATTTAAACTCCACCTCTTCTTCTTCCTCTCTGTCCCAGCTTTTGCAAAAACCAGAGACGTTGTTTTTCACAGAGCTTAAATTTCAAAACCTGTTCTTCTGAGTTTTGTGTGTTCACTTCCCAGCTTCAGTGTGCTCTTTCTCTTTGCCATAGGGACGTTGTAAAGAGAGAGTCTTACACCATTTCTACTATCTTGTGAGTGTGATCTTGTGTAGATCAACTGTGAGGGAGTGTGATCTAGTGAGATCAACTGGCTTTCAAACCGGGTTGTGTAGTGGATTTCTCCTCGAGAGTGGGGAGCGGGGACGTAGGTCAGCGGACCGAACCTCGTTAACATATCGCGCGTCACAGGATAACGATTCCTAACCCTATCTCCTCTATTTTGATTGCATTAGAATACTGTGGTTTGCTTGTCTTTATTTTATCAGAGCTTGGTCTCTATATTAGTTTTTTGTTTAATCACCTTAGAGAAAAGATCTTATGGAGGCTTCAATGAATGTGCATATGCTAGAGGGACAATCCACAACTAGACCACCACTCTTCACCGGTAGTAACTTTGCTTATTGGAAGACTAGGATGAGAATTTACCTTCGTTGCATTGACCTTGACATCCTAGAACTCATAGAGAAAAAGTACGTAGAGAAGTCCAAAGTTGGGACTATGACCGATGGAGAAATGCACCAAGCCAATCTCAATGCTAAGGCTATGAATGCCTTAATTTGTGGTCTTTCCCCCAACGAGTATAATAGGGTTTCCACGTGTGCAACCGCATACAAAATATGGGTGAAATTGTGTATTACACACGAAGGAACCCCCAAGTCAAGGAAAGCTTAGAGTACTTAACACACATAATATAAATCCTAAACTA